ACAGTTGTTGGTCTATAAATTCTAAATGGAAAGATGCCCTGTAAACAATTGCTGTCAAACTAGGTGGATGTAAGACAACTTCGGAAGATTGGGGCAAGGGCAGGACGGAATGAATCATAAAAATTTAGAACACTACACTTGTATTATTTTGTAAGTCCTTTTCATTTCTTGCTCTACTTTAATAGTAACATTACTTATTAATAACAAGTGCTAATGATGATTAAACACTTAATATATCCCAGGAATTAGTCTAAGCACATCAAACATCTCAAACTTATTTCATCTTTATAGTAACTTGAGTTAGTACTGTTATCATCCCCATTTTACAGATGATGGAAACTGAGGCCCAGAGAGTTAGGTTGCCCAAGGTTACATTTCTCATAGAGGCAGAGGCTATCCAGCCAAATGGGCTCTTCACAGATAAGCTTTACTGATGGCTGTAGTTTATACATGAATGGAGACATGGAACTCCAGTCAGTGGGCTCCCAAACACTTCAGACCGTCATCAAAGGATTAGGAAATAAGTGTTCAATGATAGGTTTTAGGTTTTAAAGCTTAACATTTGAAAGTACAGGGCTTTGTTTTTTTTTTGTTTGCTTGTTTGTTTGTTTGTTTTAATGATTCCCTTGCTTTTACTGACTTTTTAATTGAATTAAATACCAGCCTGTGGCATCAGCTGGAAGGTTTTGCCTTCTACAAAGGATCAGGTGAAAGACGGTGGTCTTAAATAAATACTAGAATGGAAGTTGGGATCTCTATACACTGGAATAGGGATTTACTATAGATACTTGAGGAGGAGCATGTATAATTTAATTGATGACTTGAAGGAGTAATCTGGTTGTGGGGTTTGGACTATTTTAATGGAAATGGAAATGGTAAAACAGATGAACAGAGTGGGAGAACTCACTTGGATAATATATCAATTGCTGTATAAACGTAAAAGGTGGTTTGCTTAATATTCAGGTTTAAGGTTTTATTGATCTTAGGATCTTATTTATATTTATATAGTATTCTCTACAATTGTAAAACAATTGTATATTATATTCATATTATATTTATATTGACCTTACTCAACAAATAACCACTGGGTACCTACTATGCGCTAGCGATATAGTGGTGAAAGAAACAGACACCGGCCCTGCCATCACAGAGCTATTATATTCTAGTGGGGGAGACAGACACTGAACAAATGAATCCAGAAATAAAAAACTATCATTGTAATGTGCTACCAAAGTAAAGTACAGGACACTCTAGGAATACACAATAATGAGTCTTTGTTGTTTACTTGTTGGTTTGTTTGTTTTGGGTTTTTTTTGGGGGGAGGGGAGGAGTACTCAGGTGTTTAAACGTAAGACAATAAATATCTTAAGAATCTTGAGTAATATTTGTATACTTTTCATTAACTCGTTTGGCCTCCCCAACAACTCAGTAAAAGTGATATGGTCTTGTTAATTCAGTGTTTTATTATAACTCTGTAAAAGATTTGCTGAGTGCCCACTCTGTATCGGGCTCTGTTCTAGGAGTGGGACATACAGCAATGAACAAGACAGAAAGGGTCCTTGCCTTCATGGAGTTTGGAAATATCTCCTTTATTCCCATCTTTACTTCTTAGACAATCAAATATATTCCCCCTCAGATGGAGATGCCCCCTATTTCCTGTAGTAATTATAACTTCCATGGGTTGCAGATTGGTAATGTTTCATTATGTAAAGACTTCAATTGTATATATAAAACACTTTCAATGGTGTCTGGTAGGTAGTAGAAGTTCAATAAATGGTAACTACTGTTAGAACTGCTGTTATTATTACAGCGCTGAATCTCATATTCTTTCTAGTGCACTGGATTTCATTTCTTGAATTAAATTCCATACACACTTATTGCAAGCCTATCATGGGATTTGCATACTCTTTTATGGAAATTATGATGTTAGTGAAGAAAAACCTCTCTAATATTGTCTATTTCTACCCTCCACACTTAGGTGTACAACCTTGGATATACCTCAAGCTCTGTAAACCTCTGTTTCCTCATGTTCAGAAATCAGAATACCTGTCTATTCAGCTATTGTCAGCAAAAGTCGGCAGTAGAGTGTGTGCGTGTGTGTGCGTGCAGGCGTGCAGTGGGAGGAATCAATAAATGTTAGCCATAAAGCATAATAATTCCAACTCTGAAAAGCAGGCACTGGGCTAATCCACAGTTTATGCCTGCTTTCAAATGAACACAAAAGACTAAAGACTAAGAATTTTTCTATCAAATTCAAAAATTAGAATGCACATTTAGACCATGGCAAAGAAAAACCACTTTACTCAACTGGAAGTGTTTTCAATGGGGATTTTTAATTTAAAATGTGTTTTCTTCCATTTTAAGGTGATCCACTGGACATGCAGGAAAAAATGAGTGGGAAGAAAGTTAAAGCAGAACTCTCGTAAAAGCAGGTATTATTTAAAAGCTGGGTACCCTCCACAGAGAATGTGAACAGGTAAGAGAGATGAGGTGGTATTTTCTTTTCTTTCTTTCCTTTTTTTTTTTTTTTTTTTGTTACAGCAGAGATTCAACTATGAAATAGGTTTATGGTATGGGAAGTGGTATTCTATTAGGTAACTGTTACGGTCCCTTTACATATGTTATACATGTGCAAATTACATATTTATATAAAACTTCTAGTATCACTTTCAAGCAGATATACAAGGATAATCATCAGTATGAGTTACTGAACTCACTTTTAAAACATGCATAACATTATTGTAAGTTTGGGTCTTGATTTTTTTCCCTATGAAACTGTTGGTTGTTTGGGGACCCAACCCACTAAAAGATCCTAGTATTTGAGACATGTAAGTTAGGAAAGTTAGCGTTCTCGGAGAAAATTCTCACCTAGTGTCCACTATAAGCACCCAGGACAAGGGCCTCCCTCCAGTTGACTGGCGCCAAGGGAAAGAAAAGGATCTAGAAGGACTTTTGTTAATCTATGGCTGCTCAGCGCCCTTCTCTTGGCTGAGGGTTCGACGCTGGCATAGGTCTTGGTTCCCTTTTCTTTCCTGAGGCGGCGAGCGGCTCTTCCTTTGCCAAGATGGCGGCCCTGGCATCATCTGGAGGCGACCCGTGCACATCGCCTCCGGGCTGGCGGCTTGCCAGAAGCCTAGGGCTCTCCTGTCACATCAGACGACACACGGAGCAGCGTCCACCCCTCAGAACTTAGGAAGGGCTACTCTGGCGGCCCGCGACCGAGAACCGTTGCCAAGATGGTGGCCGGGCGGCATCACCGGCCTTTACCAAGATGGCGGCGGGCAGCTTCCGGCACGCGCTTCCCCCATCCTCTGCAAGATGTCAGGGCAGAGCGGCCGCCGCCAGTCTGAGCGCGGCCGGAGGAGAGAGCGGCTGCTTCCGAGCGCCGGCCGGGAAGGGCTAGGTGGAGCTGCGGCAGCCTCCGCCCTCGTCAGCAGCTGGCAAGTACTGTCACCTGTGGGGGCGCAAAAGTTACCTCCCCAAACCCTAAAGCAACACAGCACAACCTTTCCCCAAGTCACAAAAATCATAGTATGTGCCGCGCAAGGTAGGAAGCTCGGTCCTGGCGTCGCCCGAGCCCTCCCGACGCGGCGAGCAGGAGAAAGCAGCTGGGGCGGCGGCCTCCCGCGCGACAACCCTCGCCCCACGCCCCTCTCTTTGGGGATGGGCCCCGTGTTATCCTCCGACAGAGGGGGAGGCGTGTAACGGGAACAGCTGGAATGAGTTTAATGCTGATACTTAAAAGCTGCGTGTGTTTTGTTTTATTTGGAGAAAGAGGGGTCCCACGAAGACGAAAGGGTGGGCGACGCGTTGAGGAGAGTGCAGCATATGTCAAGATTCGGGGGAGGGGCCTCCCCGGGGAACTTGGACGGTATCCCGGGAGGGGGTGAAAGGAGAGGTCAGGAGTTGGGGAGTTGCGGAGGGAGGAGGGCGTGCTTTGCAAGCAACTTACTATTTCGTTGCAGCTTGCTCTTAGGCCTGCCACCTCCTGCTTTCCTTAATAATAATAACAGTAATAATAAAGAGCAAAGAAATCCAGCTCGCAGTAGGTTTTGCATTTGGTGTACAACTTCCTTCAAGTGTGAGCGCGCTAGGAGGGAAGGATGGGGGTTGAACTTGGCAGGCGGCGCCTCCTTCTGCCGCTGCCGCCGCCTCACAGACTCGGGGAAGAGGGTGGGGGACGGTCGGGGCGCGGGGGAGGGTGGGTTCTGCTTTGCAACTTCTCTCTGGGTGCGAGCGCGCGGCGGCGTCTGCAGACTGGGCCGCCCAGACGATGCGGGGGTGGGGGACCCGTCGGCACGCGACTCCCCCCCGGGCCCAGAGTACGTACGCCCCGACCCCCTCCCCTGCCCTCCCCTCCCTGATGCCTCTCCGGAGGGCGTGTCTGGCCGTCCGGCCCCGCGAGCCGCGGAGACGCTGCGGCACCGTTTCCGTGCAACCTCGTAGCCCCGTGCGAAGTAACACACTTCGCGTAAGTCGGCCCGGGGGCGGTGGCGCGGACCACCCCCGCGGCTCAGCTGCGGGCCCTGCCCCGGATCCCCCAGCCAGCCCGCTGTCACCCGCAGGGGCGCAGCCGGCGGTCGCCGCCGAGGGACACGGCGAGCTCCGGAGTGGGTCGGGAGTCGCGGAGCTGGGCGGGGGCGGGAAGGAGCGGCGAGAAGAGAAACTAGGGAAACTCGGATTCCCTCCGAAGCCGGCCTCAGAAAGACCAGGTCGGCCCGCGCCGCCGCCGCCTCTCCTT